GGGGATCGAATCCCGTCGGTGTCTGTTTTGCTTCTCACCGCACGCGTTCTATTCAGTCATTATAAGATGTTTAATTTCCCGTCGTAGAATACCAACAGTACCTTAGCTTAATCGGTAAGCACTGCTGCTGGTACTGTCCGCGAGTTCCAGGTTGGCACCTTCGTACAGGTTCAGGGCATGTGGTCCACTCGGAGGATCAGGGCTTAGGGGGCCGCCCTATTCCTCCCTTAGCTCTTTGCTTTTACATGGTGACTGGCCCTCCGGGGTTACATGGATGGACAGGGAAGGAAGTGTGTATTGGCCGGGAACGCCGAGATCCCAGAAGAGTCCTAAGGGATTGGCTGGGGCATTGTTATGGCTCAGACCGATCCCTGAATGCTTGGCTAGCACATAACTTTTTGATTTTTTTTTCCCTATTTTTTTTTAAACTGTTGTTTAATAAGTTTGATGTTTACATCTGCTCGGCAGGCCTACGGTAGTATTATAAACAAAGCAAAGTAATAAATCAATGAATTTTTAATAATTGACTATAATCAAAACGAAGTTTTGTTCGATCAATATGACTATGCCATTATTATTGGAGTAAGGTACGCAGTATGCAATATTACACCGGGCAAAAATAAAAATGTACATTGTAATAAGTTTATTACGTTTCAAAATAATAATATTTCTTTAATTGTGAACATTCCCAAAATATCATAGTATAGTAATTCGCAAAATAGGAAATCGCAAGAAAACAAAGCCCCTCACCCTTAAAACTGGAAATACAAAATACCCGAATGTACCTTGAGGATTGAATTTGAAAATTCCATAACATGGGGCTTTTACAGACTTGCCTTTGACTGTCAGTGACAGACAGTCACGGATCCAGCCGGCTGGGGGGGGGGGGGGTCGAACCCCTCTTTTGCTCTAATGACACAATAAGGTAAAGATATTCTGCAGTGGTTATTAATATCATGGAGGAATAAGAACACATTAATATGTATCTGACGGGCCTGAACCACTCCCCCTCCTCCCAACCCAACCCCAGCAAAAGTTACTAGATCCGCCTCTGACGTAAGTAATTAGTACATTGATATGAAATGTGATATCGACTTAGGTCCCCAGTCTCGCGCACACATTGACTAATATGCGCATATATACCCTCGACAACAGAGGATGCGTCATGGTGGGCAGCCCGCAAGTTACTGTGGGAAATAATCTAAGCGAATGGCTACCGCCCTCTGGGAGAATAATGCATGTAGTGATGCCTAAGGGATAGTAGAATCAGCCCACATTTCTGTAGGGGGATTTTGGGCATCAGCGAATCTTTGAAAATTGATTTGATATTTTTTAGTTGCTTTTGCACACAGATAGATTCGCCTAGTGATCACACGGGTTCCCTGCAGTCCCTACATCGATCGCTGATCCTGATGTTTTTTTTTTGGGGGGGGGGGGGGTTGACCCAATCTCTATATGTACCCTGGAAAAAATGAATTATTGTTAAGCTACGAATTATTTGAAACTTGTGCGTTAATTATTTCATATAACATTTGGTTCAATGTTTCCGTTCAAAACTGAATGACTTTTTTATTGCCAAAAAAGCTGCATTTAAGGCCAAAAAATGTCTCAGGTTTCTGGTATGGAGCTTCCCCAAAACATGGTGCGGCGACGCGGCTTTTTTTTTTTTTACCTTTTTTTCCTTCAAATGTCGGCTGATGACTGCAAATGGTGCCCGACTACACTTAGCGCAAATATATGGGAGTCCAGAGAGGCCACATCAAGCTTATTCTCAATCATAACCCCATCTAAAAATACGTTTAAATTGTGCAGCAGCAGGATTCCAGTCAAACGAGTGAGTTTGGCAGTTTTGAGACATCATCTTCATTGAAAAAAAACCAACACTTTTTCATTTTGCCGACGCGCATGGCTACGGCGACGCGCGCGCATACCAGAAACCGGAGACTTTTTTTTTGCCTAAAGAAGAATCTACCGACATGTACATGTATTTTTCTAGGTGAAACTTGAAAACAGCGCAGAGAGAACAACTTGAAGGAGATTGTCCAACTGAAAATTTAACAAATGTGATGTAGGCTGTTTCAAGTGTGCCACTTACGAATGGGAAACAAGCATTTAAAAAAACACCTGACACATGTACATCGTGTATACTAAAAAAAAACTAGACAATGAAACTTATAAATTCATGAATGACTGTTTTATTATTACAAGGCATCCATAAGAACAGACAAAAATCCACACAAGTTTTAAACCTGCAAAGGAACCTTACATTCCAGATACACATGTACCAGTACATGATAGTTTCTGCTAATAAAAATGACAGTAAAAATCAAGTGCAGCATAAAAACATTTGAAAACCTATGAAAGTTACCAGTGCTGCGTTGGCAGACATTGTAGTAAATTTTCCACACATTTGTTTGTGATATTTTCTTTTTAGATATCAACGGTACTTTCGACTTAAACATACATTGTGTAATTTTTTTTTTTTTAAATATAAGTCAAAGATTCCCATGTGAAAGTATTTCAGAGCATTCTGTCGACATCAAACGCAGCAGTAGTTCATAAAGTCTACTGTTAATTCTCATGTTTCTTAATTTCCTTTTTTACAACTGCTGTGGGTTTTGAAATAACTAAAGGAATTTTTCTGAAAGTACAGGTGATAACAAAAACTGGTGAAGCCAAGCACATTGTGCTATGGTGGATAAAAAAAGGAGTAACAACAACTTTTCCTTTTTGAAAAGAAAATGAAATTAGCATTTGATATTGTGAAGGACCCAAATGGTTATATCTATGTACAGTATTATACATAATGGCCTCTTTTAAAGAGGATATACGCACGTACTCACCATATATTCTTGGATAAATAAATATCATACACTACCTACATGTACATAAAGGTTGGTATTTTGGGTCACATAAATTTGTAACCACACCTATGAAGGTTGTCTGTGTAAGTTGGGGGGGGGGGGCGTTATCACAGCAACATATGACTGTGTTTGGAATGGGCACTAGCACTGTTCTTCGATGTGATGTAAACTGTGTCCAATACACAAATTTAGGTGTTTGTCACATCTTTGAGAATATAACATGTCAGAAGTAATTGCCTTGTTAGACAATTTAAACAAACTTAATTTAAAGTTATCTGCTTGTACAATTGTCTCTTGCCAATGCTATTATTAAGGGTATTTTCGCTCGCCATACAGATAGTTGAAATGGCCATCTAATAATTTACTGGCAAGAAGACAATCGAATGTACTCTTTAGCTACCGTAAAACTGAAGATAGGGTCGGGCTTTGTTGGTTTATAGCAAGTTGAACCGACAAATTGGATGTGCAATATTAACAAAAGGCACTTTTCTGGAAAGTGTTGTTGCTCTTTGCTCATTATTGATACAAGTAGGTGATTATTATGATTACACACATTTGAGAATCATGTTAAATGGCTAGAAATTACTACAAAATGATCATATCATAAGTCATTCTTTACATAAATGTAATAAAATGTACAAAACATACTGAAAACCTTTCAGTATTAGAGGTATATGTATGTTCTAGCACTTTTTTTTCAGGTATACATCAAAAGTCTTACTGTTTGTATGAGACCATAATTTTTGCAATAACAATATGAAGGCGGACATTGAATTCTCATGTACGAGGTGCACAAATACTGACTACTACTGAAAACACTTCCGTGTAAGAGGTATATGTTTTTGTTCAAGAACATTTTGTAAGGAAAACGACATGTCAACTTTAAATGTTTTTCAAAATATGTTCATCACAGATTGTCAGCAAAATCAGTATCAAATGATGACAGATACAAGAGGCAACATTTTTAGTGCAGTGAGTGTGACAGGAATCTTACAAATTCTCTACAGGAATCTCCGACCCTTTTTGCAATTCACTTTTTGAGCATCTATGTTTTCAGTGGAGAGACATCAATGAGTATTATGTACTTCAAATTTGCCGTTTGTTCGGGTTGGGTGGGTTGGGTTGGCGGTGGGAGTGGGGCTGTAGTGGGAGGGGGGTTGGGATGAGGGAGTATAGGGTCAGGTAAGAGGCTGGTAGCCAAAACATCCCCTAATGCACGGAACAATTTTTACAAAGTTGGTGGTTACACATTTTTTAGACAACAGGAGTTTTTCACAGGTTTTTGGTATGATGGAAAATACCATGACAACTTCAATTCAAAAGAAAGACAGTATTAACATTAAAACATTAAAAAATAAAGATAACAGAGAAAGGGATCCTTCACCTGAAGGAGGCAGACAGAAAGAGAGAATATTGAAATGTGAGCACCAGAAACACGTTCTTTTATTGACCTCATCATCCCACCTAACGATGAGCTATCCATGCTAGTTCAGCTTCATGGATTTCCCGATATATTCAAAAATGGAATACGGAATCAAGGACAATACCGTTGGAAGACAGTGTTTGCCTGAGCCGATGATTCAGGTCATTTTCTCTGTAAGTATGATTGTTTTAAGTATGATTTGCATCAGTTATCCAAGACCAACATATTAAACAAATCCAAAGATGGGACTAACAAGCTCATCAGTTTTTAAACTTCTTGTAACTCAATGTGTTGCTGTACATAGTGTGGATAGTTGGGAGGGGTCAAAGGTCAAAACTTGGTACTCCCCTCTCATTCCCTCCTTACTGCGGTGAAAGGATCCATTTTTAACCTAAAAAACACAGTTGGGAGACTTTTAAGCGCACTCAAGGCAGCAGGCATATCAGTTTCTTTCCAAGATTTCTTTTGGTGTTTCTATTTCAGAGTAGAGAAGTTTGGAACCAAGCTGTTTGACGTGGGCACAGGAGATCAGCGCGACGGACCAACACTGTCTTTGTGGCTGAGTGAGGGATTTCAGACCAGAGACTTTTTCAAGTCAACAACCACCAAAAGCTGAATTAGATATCCCTGCTGCATTTTGTTTCCGAAAAGTCTTAAATTGTTACAACACAAGGACTAACTTCAAGAACCTTGAACGTGTCTAAAAAATTAAATTCTTGAGCAATAAGGCTGATCATGTGTTGGCATAGTATGGTAATACATGTACTTATTTGATACAAACCTTACTGGCTGTCACCTACAATGAAAATGAAGCCCATCTGTACCATGCTATCAGTTCTATCACGAAGGCCCCCTTCCATGGCGAAAGCATTGTGGGCATCGTGGGGCAGACACTTTGTACAATAGCTTGCACAATGCTTTCACCATCGAAGGGGGCCTTGTATGTGTGTAGTGATCACGTGCCCAGATTCATCTATAAAACACCTCGGCCCAATTTCACGGTGCTGCTAAGCACATGATTTTCCGCTAACAGAGCCTCCATCTATTTCATGGAGACCATAAGCATAAGCACAGCAAAAGGCATGCTTACTTCAGAGGAAAAATTTGCTTAGCTTAGTGACGTTACAAAAGAAATCTCCATGCACGCGTGACCTTTAGCACATCCACACCGTGAAGTGCTTAAGGTTAGCAAAATTTTCTGCTATGCTAAGCACAACTTTTTTGCTAACTGTTAAGCAGCGCCGTAAAATTGGGTTCTGGTTTCTGGGTGAATTTACCACTTTGTTCTTTTCAAACCTGTGTAATTGCACTCACAGCCCATTAACAGTCCCTGTTGTTCGACACTACAAAACTTGGGTGTTACCTTTCGGAATAGATACTCCAGAATTGCATCATGACCCTTATGGTTTTACAGTCTACGTGAAAGTGAAGAAGTGTACACAAAAATGAAAACATTTTTTCATGAACACAACTATAACAGCCTAGGTTGCTAGGATTTCAAAAAAAAGAACAAAAAATACAATAGCTTTAAGCAATGTACAATATGAACAACATTATTAAATAAACTATACATGTAGATAATAATACGCTATTAATTACAAGTTGTACACACACACACTAAAATCAACAATCCACTGATAGACCAAAAAAGTGGATTAGCCGCACCATTAAAAGAGCAAATAGTCATATTTCTAACTTACATTGTACGTTTACTTGTTAGCATTACTTCTTTTTTTTTACATTACAATACATGCCAAAAAATGTGGCTAAGTCAAATTTTTTTCAAATCCGTTTAAAGGGTAATACGTACAAATGTACAGAACAACTATGATCTTTGGGTATTTGAATAAAAAAATTGACAGTTATACAAATTTTTGTTTTCATTCATTAAAAAAAACCTGTTATGTGTCCGTAATTACAATATCACTTTCTTTTACAAGTATTTACATGGACTTTTCCATATAAGAAAATATTGTGAAACAACAGTTTCCAGTAATATACTTGAATATTGGCACTAACTCTTCCCTTAGATTTTTGCTTTCCTTTTGCCCAGGCGAAAAACTAAAAATAGGCAGCATAAAAAAGCAAGTTACTACTTTTTCCCCGGAAACAATGCAACATCTGATTTATTTGTGATTACGACTAGTCGCAAGGACTAGCCACAGGAGCATTTTTGATCAATGTAATGTGGTACTTCTGAATAAGTGAAAACAAATTCACAAATCTTCTTTGTGACCTTTTGAAACGAGATGAGAGAATTTGTCTGAACAATTTTCTTTAATTTTATGTTTTAATTATAAAGACCTCCAGTAGGGTCAAACATTTTCTTAACTCAAAAAATATAACTCACAATATACTATAACAAACCGACTCTTAAGTGGATAAAGCTAGGACTCGGTGGGGGTTGCATAGCCAGAATGAAAGCTTTCTTCAGAGGAATCCTGAGTAGAGAATTCGGACCTAGCGTCAGTGTAATTACTCTCACAGGATGTGGCCCTGTGAAGACCTTCAGAGCTCTGGGCTCTCAAAAACACAGGGCTGCTGTTGGACGTGACGTTTGGTCTGCAAGATGATCTGTGGGTGTCTTCTTCACACTGTTTTTGTTGTTCTGTTTCCTCCTCTTCCATATTCTCTTTAAACTCCACTTCCTCTTCCACCTCTTTTGCTTCTGGTTTTGTGCCCTCAACCAGTTCATCTTCTTTGATAGACGACTGTGACAGCAACCGTTGCTCCTCTGCTTTGTTTTGTTTCTCTGCTTTAATTTCTTCCTTAGGGTTGACGCAAGTCCTGGGGACAGGCTTCGAGACAGCCTTCTCAAGCTCTTGAAAGCGCTCCTTGAGCGATCGGAAGAGGATGGGCTCCGAGTCTTGAGGGGAAGGCTCAGTGGATGTTTCCGACCCGGTCAGGTTAAGGGGACTCCTTGCTACATGGACAGGTGAAGCATGGGCACTGCTCTCTCTACTCTCAACCCTAAACCCGGTCAGGTTGAGGGTACCTCTTGCTACATGGACAGGTGAAGCATGGGCGCTGCTCTGCAAGCTGCTAGCATAGCTGCTCATCCCGTCTGGCTCATCTGAGCAGTGAGATGCCGTGTCTGAGTAAGACATCTCCAGGGTGCTTCCCTCAGTCTTGTTGTACCTCTTGGGGATGGGTCTGGAGACCCATTCCTGAAGCTCTTGCCTCCTCTCCCGCAGAGACTTTATCTTGGAGCTGCTGGCCTCGTCCTGTGACTGCTTGTGGAACTCTGCGTTCTGCCGGATGGATTGCAGGCGTTGCTGTATTCCCATCGAGACTGGGGTCACAACTTTGGATTCTTTCTTTTTTGATGAAGGTTTCTCAAATTTCTTGACCACATCTCGCACTGACTTCCTGTTCCGATTGTTGCGACTCAATGATGGAGTGTTGTCCTGGCTCAGGGATTCAGTTTTGTCCTCATCTGAAGACGATCCAGTGCTACGGACAAGAGTGGCATGAAAGACTGAATCCGAGATATGACGTACCCGACCCCTGGAGGGTGCTATCCATGACTCATTCTCTGTCATGGCCCTCTGGAAGGTCTCAATTTTACTAGTGACCTTGCTAGCTGTCTTGGGTCTGACAACAGCATGTCCATCCTTGTCTTCCTTTATTGAGAAACCCTCAGTGTGAGCTGTGCCATCCCGATCTACGTAAGGATCACTAAAGACATGCCTTGTCACAACAAGTTTGGGACTCTCTTTGGCCTTGCGGCTAAACTCACGAGCAAGCTTGATGACTGTCTTTGGTACAACAGCTGCCGGAGCTTCATCTTTTGTGTGATCTTCTTCTGGTTGACAAGATTTCGCTGGCTCTGAGTTGGGTTTCTCCTCTTCAAACCTCTTACCTGTTGAAACAGTGCATGTACTAGTTATATCGTCTGATGCCGCTTTTCCTGCTTCAGTTTTGGCATCCTCATTATCAGAGAGGTGGAACTGCGAATACTTCTCTCCTAGCTTTTTGAAGGCACTGTTGACAGATTCTAGAAGATTTTCATTGGAGGAATAGGAGGACAGTTCTCCTGATGCTCCATGAGATGATGGAGACGCATCTAGGATCTCTTTGCGAGTTGGGCTACCACTCCTGTCCTCTGTGTTTGTGTCCAGCATATTGGGATCTGAGTGTGATCGGTTGTGCATCTCACTAACAGCAGCTAACATGCATCTGTCATCACTGTTGGACCGAGAAAGCGGAACCTTGAGAGGTACATGCATTGCTACGTCTGCACTGAGAGGCCGGGCACCGTATGATAAACTCCGGTTCCTGACATAAGTCTCCGAGGACATTGGAAGCCACACGTCTCCATTTTTACGAGTGCCAAGAGGCCGGTAGCTCTTGATGTTTGAGTGTCGGAGCTTGAACGGTTCCGAAGGGGAAACCTTCTTGATGTAAGACGGCAAGGATTCCAGGTCCACAGCATCCTCGTTTCCCACGCTAGCATTAGGGACAATTTCAGGCAAGGATTCTAAGGCTTCCAGCTCATCAGGACTTTCCATATTCTCGATAAGTTCCTCAATGGCATTGTCATCCTCCTCGCTGCCTTCCAAGCCAAGACGTCTCCGGACAAGATCTGGCTTCTTGGCTGGGTCTTCAGAGCTCTTACCCCTATCAGTTCCACTCCGCCTGCCTGAGCCATTAGCATCTCGGTCTCCTTCAGTGCTAGTGTGTTCAGACAGTGTCATGCTACCGATGCCAGAGTCTCTGTTGGATTCCCGTTTCTTGGTCAGGTTGCTCCGTACAGCCGCCCGCTCTTTCTCCTCATCGCTGTGTGTGCTCGACACGCTGCCATCAAGCTCCATGCTGTTGCGGCTCAGTCTTTGGCTAAGGTTATCTGCTGTAAAAGAGAGATGGAATAGCAAAGATGAACATTTAGCCAGTCTGTGTGATAATTGTTTAAGAACTCTCCTTCACATTCAGAACAGTGTTTGTTATACCCATCTTTCAGGACGGTCAGATGGCATTTTCCTTGGCTTTCAACTCTTGCATCAGCAGGATCATATCTGACCTGTATTGTACTCTAATTGAATTTGACTCCCATTCTTTGATGACGCTGAATTTGATATTTCTGTCCAGGTCTTTAAAACCTGAAATGTATTCACTGCAGACAATTTTTGTCCAAAAGGAGAACTGTGATGATCAGGCTCTTTTAAATAAGTATTATGGTGATGCTTTAATTTGATTCTTTGATTCTATTTACCTATTGGTTGTTTGTCAGGGCTTCTTGAGTCAGGGGTTCTTGTAGAGTCTGAGCAAGCTGACAAACTGCTCCTTCGCTCTGGGGTGTCCTCATTCTGTAAAAAATAAAACAATAACAAAGAGTCATTTTACAAATTCAAATACACCGTTACAAGTGCTCTTAGAATTAAGCAAACACTCATGAACAAGGCTTGTCCTTCCATGTTTTCCCTATGTAGTTTTAAAGCATTTTCTGCCCAGTGTTGATTCACATGCATCCACTGAAGTTTGAAATAGCTGTCTTTTACAAATCGGAAGATCAGGCTTTTCAGTTTGTTAACTTAATGTGACATTGGCAATGTACACATGCTGCACCAAATCAAGCATCCTAAGCTTGTCTTTTAGATCTTCACAGTTTGTTTGTCTACAAAAGTAATATAGATGGGAGCCACACAAAAGCAAATTAAGGCTTCATCCGAATCAGCTGTCTAGAGAATCAGGTCTAGGTCTGCGCCCATTGAAAATATGTGGGGACGCGCTGACAAAAGACGTAGCCATAGCTCTTGAAGCTCGTTTCGGACACGGCCTAGGGCTACCAAAAGGATGTCATGTGTATTTTTCTGTTAACAAAACATTGCACATTGAGCGCTGGCAACTGGCATTACCCAGAATTGTTGGTTAGTCCTCAGAATTTTGCGTCGGGGTAATGTAAATCAAATTAGGTTTTGCCCTTCACCGACGTATGAACACTGTATACTCTGTGTGTTGCCTCCCGAGTGAAAGTTGGAAAAAATCACTCGGTTGGGACTCGAACCCATGACCTCCTGCTTTCTAGTGGTCGAGTCATAAGACGTCTGCCCTAGAAAGCAGGAGGTTGTGGGTTTGAGTCCCACCCGAGTGATTTTTTCCAACTTTCACTCAGGAGGTAACACACAGAGTATTGGGTGTTCACTCGGGAGGTAACACACTGTTTATACGTCGGTGAAGGGCTAAACCTAATTTGATCAATCACAAGTCATGCAGTCCCATACCAAGTAACCAGGTAATTACATGTACATGAACTGTGGAAAGGGTATTCCTTGGTATTGCTCATCCCCTGTTACTTATGACATGGTCTGTGATTACTTATGGCATGGTCTGTGATTACTTATGACATGGTCTGTGATTACTTATGACATGGTCTGTGATTACTTATGACATGGTATGTGATTACTTATGACATGGTCTGTGATTACTTATGGTATGATCTGTGATTGCCAAGTGTTGTGACTTGTAAAATGAAGTAATGAACAATACGGGAACGTGGGGAAAAAAGGTAAAAGGTCCTAGTTAAGTTCAAGGATGAAATGCAGTTGACGCTGAAGTTGGATATGCATCTAAACATTTGGATTTGCAAATGAATGCACTGTCAGGTTTCAGATACAGGGCCCAATAAATGTAAGGAAGACACGTACCAGACGGGATGTAGACTGTCCATGAGGGGATTCCAAAGATTCGTTATCGGACTCGTCCGTCGCGTTCCATGTCTCTGCTCTGACATCACCACTGGATTGTCTGCCATTCTGTAACACACACAAGATATCAAATACAAAGTTAATGACAATGGGTAATGACTGGTTCTCACAATCTTGCGATTTTCCTTTATTTCGGGAGAAATATAATTTAATCATTATTGAATAGCCAGATAATCAATCAGAATTAATAGCCAGACAAATCAGGACACCCAGAAGACCAGACAGCCAATACCTAGAGTGGCCATCACGCCAAAGTAGGCATCAATTAATAGTGGTATTACTGATTATCATGTCATGTTTATTTTTCTTTTGTTTATTTCCGTTGGTGAACCACAATTTGGGCGTTGTCTCTTGCTTCCGATCCATTATTTCAGTCCCCCGATTTCAAGACTCTGGCTCAATATTGGTCAATTGGTATGCTTCAGGAACACGACAATTTGAGAAAAAAAGTGTCAAGCACTTTCATTTGGTTTGAACACTGATGGCTTCTATGCGAGTTTGCGATGAATCCAAAGTTGGAGATGACACTGACAGATTTGAAATTTGGAGATTTGAAAACGTCAAATGACATTCCTTGCACAATGGTCTGTTTTGCAGACATGCCTATTCTAGATAAATAGTTCTACATCTATGTACTACACTCACCCATTTAGACAGCTCTGGCCTCTTCATTCCTACAAAAACGACAAAACAAAATATGGACTTATTTCTAGGGTAGCTGTTTCAACATTATCATCAACATATACATGTAGAATAACATTAGAATTCCAAAAAAGGTGTCCTAGAATTTTTTCCAGACCCATTTTTTTTTCTTAGGCACTTATCTTCGGCAGTTGTTTTACCAATAACTCAGATTTTTTAAGCAACAAAAAGCAGTGAACTTCCATTGTAGCAAACCTTGTTCCTCACCAGTTTAGGGGACACAACCAACCAAACTTCACAGAATAAGTGAACAGATTTATATTGCACTTGTATAATTTGAAGTTTATTTAACTTCTAAAAGCAATACAGATAAGTTGGGATCACAACAAAATGATACACTTTTGGATCAGGATTTTTTTAAGTGAGTGTTATTTTCAATGTGTTGGAAACAAATCTTTGTTTATTCACATTACAAGGCAGTTCACTCTGTCCTTGCTCTATGCTCTGCCCAACCAGGAGTACTAATAAATGCAAAAAAAGTGTTTGACTACTAGATAGATGGATATTTCTGATAACAAGAAGCCAGCAGACTGGAGCAAAGCCTTTGCTTCAAATGGCAGACGATCGGTGCAATTTTCTAAGGCTAAATGCAAGCTAAGCATAAGTTTTATTGGTAAGCCACAAAGTGGGTTGTGCTTGGGTGCAGATATGGGAGTCAGGGATTTTGGAGATGCCTCTATACATCCAGCGGTGTAGCAAGTGTTCTCACCATGGGGGGGGGGGGGGGGGGGATAGGAAGGGGGCTGGACACCATCTACCTCTGGGGGCGTAGTTCAAAGCGGACAATCATAGACACTATCGAACAATAGGTGGCACTTTTCATGGCAGCACAAAAGCCGACATTTGCGCAACCTTAAAAATTTTTTAACCATGGTCACTTTAAGTGGATTACAAATTTCCTGTGGGGGCGTGACGATTGGCTATGCCGCTGTATACATGTTATTAAGTTAGGCATGCAATAGGATTTTATGCAGCATGCAATATTTGGGTGCTTTACTCTTCATGATGGCAGATAGCTTTTGTCTTTCTCACTACAGACGAATCCCTGGGTCACCCAACCAACTGGTCTCACGACATGATTTCTTGGAATCGAATGACTAGCGATGAACAATTCATTGAGACCAAAGATGTAACTTCTCCACATCTGTGTGTGCTGCTTACCAAAGTGATTTTGGCAAATTTAAAAAGAAGCTTCAAGTGGCAGAGTTTTGCGGAGCAATCTAGTGGTTATTTTACTACAAAACATTGCACATTTTTGCAAGAACTATGACACTGAAGAATGATTAAAGCTGTTGTTTTAAACTGAGGCACGGGTTTTGTGCAGGAACTGAGTACAGTCGAGTCTCGTTAATACAAACTCGTTCGGACCTAGCCAAATTGTTTGTTATATCAGAATTTTGTATTAAGAGGAACATCAGTCCCATTCATTGTGCACATAAATGCACAGTCGGGACTAAGGCTTTATGTTTGTTATAACCAGAATTTTGTATTAACAGAGTTTGTACTAACGAGATTCAACTGTACTCAGATTTGATGATACAACGTACATACATAATTTTCATTAATTGCAACTGTCCTCAAACCTGACTGCACACTATGTGAGGTTTGTTTTGTTTGCGAACCCCCAGTTTAGTAAACATTTGATTTATGTTCATGACAAACATGTAAAAACAAAATATGACCATTATTAGCTAGACCAGGATGCAATGTTTGGCTGTACATGTAAACTGGAGGTTCGGTCTATGGGCTCTGTGCACAAGTACCCCTCTCGATGGTTACAAAGGGAGAGTTGGGGAGACCACTGGGCGAAACATTCGCATTTCAGACGACGCCTAGCGCTCATGTGAAGATGCTACAGGTTCGTGCACATTCAGAACAGAATTAGCCATGCGCACTTCGCACCATACGCATGCACCGGTATGCACAAGCGGCGTGCTCCATAAACAGGGCTCCCGAAAGCGGTAAAAAAAGCACCATCTACTATTCATGCACAGAGTCCATATACAGGGTGAGTAAAAAAAAAAAACATATCCCAAATTGCAGGACCAATTTTTGGATGCAGTTTTGCCTGTAGCACTTTCAAAATCTAGGCTATGAAAGCCCAGTTACAGTATTACCTCACCTTACAGTGAGTACCTCACCTTTAAAAGGCTATGAAAGCCCAGTTACAGTATTAAGCTTTCATTTAGTACAAGAATCATTCAGATCACTCATGAAATTTTTCAAGTAACAGAATTTTGAACTCAAACACAGTTTTAAAGTTCTGTCCATGGATCACAAAAAATAAGTGTTCTTTCAGCAAAATGAAAACAATTCTCATAGGGATGCACGTGAATTCGTTTTGCTGAAAGAACACGTACCCTTTCGGTGATCCGTGGACAGAACTTTAAAACGGTGTTTGTGTTCAAATTGCCGTAACTTGAAAAGTACATGAGTGATTTAAATGATTCTTGTACTATAAGAAAGCTCATTGATTGGGCTTTCATATCCTAGATTTTGAAAGTGCTACAGGCAAAACTTCATTCAAAAATTGGTCCTGCCATTTGTGATGCGTTTTTTTTTTTTTAATCGCCCTGTTGTGTTTCACAAGCAGCAATGAATAGAGGAAGCCATGCAAACTCACCTTTAGTAATCATGCTTTCCACTGCAGCTGTAGTGTAAAACAAGCAATGGTGGGAAAAAACCATGGGTTAATATGGCAAAAAGCTACTATGCCCCTGGGTGTCTGTCACCATGTGCGTCACCATGTGCGCAAGACTGCCAAAGTGAGAGCATGCATGTGTCTTTGTGTCACATTCACTTTCCTGGAATGCACTTTCTGTTTAAAAGTTTAAGGGCTTTGATCCAAGTATAGTAAACTCTGGCTAAGTCGGCATTCTCGGGACCCGAGAATTTGTGATGACTTACGCGAATGCCGATATCTGCTGCAAGACATCATTTTGCCGGCTTACATGAATGGTCTTTTGTACACATGATTCATGGCACTAATTGGCTTCGATTTACCTTGGATTATCTCCTTAATGCTGGAGTTGAATCCAGCAAATTAATCCTCGAATTGTATCATCACGTTTGGGGTATTGATAGTGGAGACCACGATACATATGTACCATGCACAGTAATGAATTAAATGCGTGCATGGTCCGGTATTTACCACGCACGCATTGACTGCAGCACTAGTCATTCAATAAGACGACCCCCAAAATGGACAGAGCGCATGCGTACAGCCTAGAGGGGTTACTAGTATTGATATGCTCACGATGCATATGCGATGTATGCAGTAGGACACCCTTTTTCGACACCAATGCATGCAACTATCACGGGCCGTGCGAAACCACTTTTCACTCGACACTTTGCCAACCGCAGTACAGGAAGTCTATGCCAATGCGTGATGTTGTTGAATGCCGACTTACACAAAGGATTTTGTAATGCTTTTGATGGAAAGGGGACCGAGAGTAACACAACGACTTGAGCGAAGTGGCGACTTATAAAAGCCGACTTAGAAATAAAAAATTAAATGGAAATGCATTACGGACAATCGGGACTTTAGTCAGACGGCCGACTTGAGTGATTTGACGAGTTGTACGATGTCGGTTTAGCCGGAGTTTACTGTAATTGGATTGAAACAATTTTGAGTAAAATTCTTGTACAAAATTTAACAGAGAGTGCCGTTTTGGTGATAAAATATCACAGTTTAGTTGTATGAACAGTCAAAACAACACTTCAAATCATCAATTCGTCACTTTCAAATCTCAAACAAAAATGTTATTTGTTTAGTTGTGAAATCACAGCAAATGGTGCCAGAGGACTGAATTTTTTTTGGAACACACAGAATGCACATCCATTTTAGTCTTAGAAAGGAATAAATCAGGGTTTCTTGTCAGTCTTGTTTTAGTTTGGTGAAGAATGTTTTTTTTTTAACAAGCCTTGTAACTTAAGGTTTTGAAAATTTTGCCTATTTGTGGAAAATTGGAGGTGACATTAACCCCTAACCAACAGTGTGAAAAGAAACAAACCAAAAATATTAATCGCCTAATGAAGAATGTCAGATGGTTGTGGATATGTTATTTGTAAAACAATAAACCTTGTAATGTCATTCATGAAAAACTTGAAGTTTTATTTGACATTTACAGGTTGTTCAGATGGACATCACCATTTAACATGTTTTACAATTGCCATAAACACAACCATTGAAATGCATTATTGAGAACCAACACCAGAAAGTGATAAGGAATATGAAATGATTAGTACTGCCAGAAGTATATCAGAGATTTAATGAGCTACGCATTTAAGTTCAACAGAAGTAAGAAGTCTATGAATACATAGAAGATGTATTGGGTGAATATATTCTGATGATGAACAATTGGGCAGAAAATATGTTTGGCACAGTTTTTTGCTATCCAAAAACAACCCCACCAAATGTTACGCTGGTCAAAATCTGACATTACTGGTAATTTTGAATAATTTTCTTGTTCCATCAAGATTGAGATTTTGCCACCATTACAAAGTTTTAAACCAGTATGATGAAGAAAATATTCCAGATTTAAATGCCCTTAGTTATTCCAGTAATTATGAAGCATTAGTTGCAAAGATAAGAGTTTATAAAACTAGAGATTACTCTCAAAACAAACTTGGTATTAAAAGCAAAGAAAATGACAACGACTAACATCGAATCTCAACAGCAGCGAGTTAATTTCCAACACTTCTAACTGTGAAGGACATTGTGACCTTTGACCCACCTTTGACCTGCTTTTGACCTCGGATCAGCTTGCCCATTGGTTCTGAGTTGCGTCGTTTCTGTCTTCGTTTGGACTTCCTCTCTTTCTTATCTCGTGTCAGGTCAGGGTCTGGTGGGACCTCTTTGTCTGACTCTGTCTTGGCCGACATGGCTGGAAACGAGAACAAGAACAAGAGTTTTCATTAAATTCAAAAACATTCTTAATTGGTGTGGTGTCTGTCCAGTAAAACAAATTCCATCCAATTACGGGAAAGAAGAAACCTGTCTGATGAAGGATAACGAGGAAAATTAATTTTTGGGGGCACAGGAGAGTGCTCAGAGTTCAAATAAATACATATTCAAAATCACTGTGCTCATGGAAAAGAACATAACAGCCTGATTGTCCGAGCAACCCCATAATGAAACTTTAAACTTTCTGTAGTTTGCTGTTATAATTTAAAGACAAGAACATTTGCACCTGTCTGAAAAAATGAACTGATGTGCTCTGTAAGAGCTGTAAGAGCTTGAGGGATATGGCCAAGTGCTTGGTGAACTCCTACATACAGAAGTCTCCTGGCTTCAAATGTGACCAACAAAACAAAACAAAAAGCAGGTTAATAGCTCAATAGCACAACAGTCTTAACGAACATACAAAAAGACTATACGCATAGCAACCAAAGTGCTATAAGCGCGCAACCGGTATTGTGTGCAAATGCATACGGGTGTGCTCGTTGCGCTTATTGTTCCCAAGCACTAGCGCTACAGAGCTGGGTTCAAACATTTCGTGAAGGAGTGGTTTGGAAAAGTTCAAGTACAGTTTTAACTAATTTTGTATTGAAATAGAAATACATTTTAATTGTATCAAGCAGAATCTGTGGATGAGGTGTTATAAAACAAATATTGACTGATGGAGCCTAGTTTTACTATACCACAAGTTAAAGCAGTCAATATTTGTATACTAGTCACCAGTCTGTAACTTCTCCAACCCTGTAACTTCCCCAATCCTCCAAACCTTCTTGGTGGATTTATAAGGATCTGAGAGGATTAACCCTAATTCCCTAGGGCGTGTGCAAAATCGTATTAAAATTGGAGGATTCAGGGCTGTTAGGGGTACGAGGGTAAATGATTCAAGGCCTGTGCAGTCTGTGACATTGAAGTTGCTAGCTTACTGCTTCTGAGGATGAGCTCGTAGACCTTGGTGGGTATTGTACTGCCGTAATTCTCCAAGATCAGTCGCTTGATTTCGTGGCTCCAGAGTTTCTTCTGGTCAACATTGCGTGCCTGAAAAATAGCATTCAAGTTGTGGCCAAAACATAATAATCAATTAATAAATGAAAAAATAAGATGAAAGTGTGCATAGCTTGGATTGAAGTGCCTTTAAAAATCACAGGGACCAGGCCTTTTCCAGCTGTGCACCGCGTCTCTGGAATTCCTTGCCAGACGAGTTAAGGGACACAACTGATATGTCATCATTCAAACGCCATCTTAAGACTCATTTTTTCAATCTATCATTTAAACCACAGTGATTTGCTAGTGACCGGCGCCTTTGAATGGTTCTCCAGATACTGTGCGCCTTATAAATTATCTGTTATTATTATTATTATTATATGAAATAGTGGCACTGAAAACTGGAATGTTATTTCTATAGATACCAATTTTGATTGAATTGATACCAAAATTCAAATTACACAACTTAATCAAATTAACTTTGAAAATTGTTTATCACCTCACATGGTTGAGGAAAACTAATGGTGATATTTTCAACAAATTTTAAGGAAAAAAAAATGAACAACTGATCTTTCAAATTGTACATGTATATGGAATAATAAGTAAGAAGAATTGTGACCTCAAATTTGAATGTGTTTAAAGGGAATATTTGCTTTTGCTGTACTTTTCAGAAATGGATGGAATTGGGGGGTTGGAAATACCGGTATATAGCAAATATAGTTACACTGACTTTTTTGAGGTTTTGGGTTCGAAAATGCTATAAAAACCAAGAAGAACAATCATTTTCCTGTAGTCTGGTTCCCTGACTCCATTTAAGAAGAAACAGAGCAGTTTACATACATTTGGGAATTGTAAGGTCAGGGAACCAGTTTAGCTGGCTTGTACCCGTTCATAGGTGTGCAATCGATTGCAAACAAGTGCGATGGCCAATGGGGGCCAGTATTTGAAAAAAAGCCAACGCTGGTCGGCCGACCAGCATTGGAAATTGATACAAAAATACGACTTTTCTTGAAAATGACAGTATACCAGGTGCCATGATTTTACAGGATGCTTTACACTGTCATTCACTAACAGTCCAGCAAAATGATTTGGTAGTTTTATTTTTTGATGTTTGCAAATGTTGTATTTTCCCTTTAAACAAAAGAAGATTTGATGAAAGCAAATTTCTTGTAAAAGTAGGCCTTACCAGGATTGTGTACTGAATGCTGGGATTGTCGAAGGGAATCACGTTAAAGCCAAGCGGCTCCTTCTGTATGCTCTCAATCAACATCAGGTTGGAACACTGCGGGATAAAGAAACAGAAAGTACAGTCAGTTATGCTGGGATCCAAAAGCAAAACCAAAACTTGGACCAGGAAGGGCAAACATTGAAATCACAACACAACAGGAAATCTTCAATATTGTATTACCACTCTCCACACTTTTGTGGTCTGTTTATCATGATATTAATCTCTTATATCATGTTAAGACAAACAAAAACAAATGAGTTTTTTTGTTTGTATTGGACTCTGATCACCATGAGAGTGAAACTGGAAGGGTAACAACGGTTTGAAGCCATCTGTGAGAAGTAAAACAATGTGAATTGGTACTTTTTCTTGATAACAGATGAAGGAAAACAGAAAAGGAAAGACTTTGTTGAAGCAAGGCCTCTGCTAAAAAATAAACATAAATGTACACGCAAGGGCCAAGTTCGCGCAAGGACTAAAGTTGACCAATGGTCAACTAACGTTTGCCCGAACTCTGTCTAGTCGACGATGGTTGACTACGCTAGTCGACTATTTGGAACCAGCCTACTGGGGCTGGTTGCTTCGCTGGTAACCAATAGCCGCGCGCATTCATAACGCTAGCAGGGAGCCAGGATCCAGAAGTTCTGCGATAACATTTTGACCAGCGTTCGACTAGAGACGTTCGCACGTTGCTATTACTGCGCAGGCGTAAGGTACGTCACAAATCAACCACTAGTCGACTAATGGTCCTTGCCTGAACTTGGCTCAAGTTAACTTGCTAAGTTTACACAAGGTTAAACATTGCCATCCCCCATCCGTTATTGTGTGATACTTACAGGTATATGCGTCTTGACGCTGATTAACCCATCCTCCCGTTTCTTGCCGATGAGTAAAACCTTCTCAAATAGGTAGAGGTAGCGCTCTGCCCTGGCTCCTTGCATCCGGAATACATCCTGACGCAAATGCACATTTACAGTTTTACAAATCGGTAATCCCTCAAGTTACTGCACACTACCTACTTTTTTTGCAGATTTCTGCACACTGAGCCAATTTGTGTGATGCCATTAAAGGTACAGTCCATCATTTGCAGCTATCCAAAAAGTAACTGATGTAATTATTGTTGAAAAGCATAGTAATGGGACTAAACTCCCTGTGAAATTATTCTTTCTGGTAAGCTGTCATTTTGAAGATATCAATAAAAGAAGGCCTTTCCAACAATGCATCGTTGGAAATTTCCGTTAGTAGTTTTTTTTTTTATTCGCGCAAAGCGTTGACACCAAGCACACATGCGCGAGGTTGCTATAATTCGTTGGATCAGTGCACGACTTCGCGGAGCTGCAATCGGTTCAGTGAGAACGTGTCTCGGATGCTGAATTCAGGCTCCATTCAAAACACGATTCAGCAACTTTTGATTTGAAATCGAGATCCTAGAATATTGTTTTCTCAGGATATACAGCATTCACTGAGCTGAAACTCCATCATGTTAGTTGTTCAGCACCCATCTTTAGATTTTGGGCACTTTTGTTGCTTCAAACGAATATACCGGTATAATGCACAAATTACAAATGATGGACGCTACCTTTAAAGACCCTTTTTCTTTACAAGAAAATAAATATTCACCAATTTTGAATGGGCAGAAAACACCCAAATACTTTTTTCATTCTTGTTGCTTAGCACCTTAAAACCAACAAGGGGACTAAAAAGAGTTGGATTTCAACTTAAAATTGTGTAGACTTTATTGCTGAAGATGCCGAAAGAATCCTCATATTCAGTTTAATAAACATGTTTGTACAGCTTTTTTGGTGGGATTCTATACTATAAAATGCTCGTCAACGTTGTTTATCAACATTGCAGCCCTTTTTTTTCCATTGACACTCTTAAAATTAAGTAAACGTCAGGCAGATTTGAACTTTGATTCAACTCTGGTACAAAAGCTTCCCCATTTAGCTTGCTAAAGTGTTGAGTACTTCAAGTGGACCGAAGAAAAATAGGAAATTATACAAACACAACTTATGAAAGCTCTACCAGCCTCTATTGAATGATTTTTAAAAAAAAGACGGCTTGGTTTACTTGTTTTTCTTTGTGAGTGTCAGGGATGCCAGACAGCTGTTTAGAAATAGGTAAATGTCTTTTTTCGCACATGGAAGGTAGTTTTTAAGTGGAGTGACAGGTTCTTTCAAGCTTACCTCGAGAACAAGATCGCCACTTGACATGAGGTCACCCTGTAGGATAACAGAAAAACAGAAGGAATTGGAAAAGTGCAGGTTTTATTTAAGGTAAAGTGTGTGATATTGTAAATATTGGCCTGTTCCGGTACTTGAAATAGGGGTGAACTGGGATGTCATGTCCTTTTGGATGACCCGGTTTTTTTTAACCCAAAACAAATTTGGGATTATCTCAAACAAAACCAAAAAAGTCAATTTTTTTTTATTTTTTATTTTTTTTTACATTTTCTTTGTTGTTGGAGCAATCATTTAAAGCTAGAATGATCATAAGGTACATCTTGCTTTTGGTCATAATACAGCCCATTCCTTTTTTCAAAGTAAAAATAAAAAAAGTAAACTAATATTCAGAAAAAAATAAACACAAAGTTAAATTCAACATAACATTAATGCACATAATTGTTCTTCACGAAACCCTACTACATGAACTTTCAAATTGTCTGCGAACCTTTTGCACATGTAGTCAATTTCCAAACAGGAAATTTGACCAAACTTCGTATGGGGAGGTACTGATTTCCAGTTTTACATCTGGTTCAACTTAAACCCAAGCACTGGTACAGAGAATTGAAAGCACAATTGCGCCACGGAGCTATATCTCCATGATCACACACACACAAACACAAAATTGATTTTTAAAAAAATACCGTGCACGTATCCTACGGACAGGGTCTGAAAAAAAAACCCATCTCAACGAAAACAAATGCTGTTTCCAGCAGTTGCCGAAACAGCCAAAAAGAAAAAGAAAAAGAAAAAGAAAAAGAAAAAGAAAAAGAAACAGAAAAAAAACAGAAAAAGAAAAAGCCCTGCGGATGTGAGGGATGCGAGGGAGAGGCGGAAGGGGAGGCAGAAGATGAAGAGCTCGGCAGATGGCTCTACTTCACTGAGCGTCTTGGTTTGATGAAGAGGCAGCGTGGATGGAATTCCTGATAGGAATCCTTGGCATGCTTGGCCCCTAATCTCATAACATGAAGGCCAAGAGGGAGATGGATAAAGCATGCCCTGGAAATAGCCTCTCAGCGTGCAACATTTTCCGAAATGTTGGTTTCGTCTTTGCCTTTTTGGCTCCTACAACATTTCAGGTTTTAGAAACATTTCGAAAGTTTTCATTGCTGGAATTGAATGAAAAACTGCTAATTTTGTCCTCAGATTTTGAAGTTTGTCCTCAGATTTTGAAGTTTGTCCTCAGATTTTGAAGTTTGTCCTCAGATTTTGAAGTCTGTCCTCAGATTTTGGAAGTTTGTCCTCAGATTTTGAATTCTGTCCTCAAATTTGGAAGTTTGTCCTCAGATTTTGAAGTTTTGTCCTCAGGTTTGGAAGTTTGTCCTCAGATTTTGAAGTTTGTTCTCAGATTTTGAAATGTTGTGTTTTTGAAGCAGAAAACAAAGTTTCATTGAGCTGAATGGTCTCAACTATTGAGCCAAAAATCATGAACCTAATACCTAAAACCACAGCTGAAAAAAAACCCTGGTTTTGGAAAATACCCGTAAACAAGGGTCATGTGTTTTATTTGTTGACAGATTATACAAATAAATGAGCATATGTCAGTCTATCATTGCTCTGGCATAACTCCGGTGCGAGGATGTAACTAAGAATGTTTCAAGCTCCTCAGTCGAAATTATCTTGCACCCGAAAAATATAAAATTGCTAAGTTCAGATCCATTCACCTAACCTACCGGTACCAAAACAAGTCTGGTTTGACAAATCCCTGAAATACATGTGGGGTATTAAATACCACAGGAGGAACTTATTTAAGGCTGAAATTTGTTCAGGGTCATTAGTATGAAAGCTAACAAAAACTTCTCACAGGAACTTTTATCCCTGCTCGACTCTCCCGCTTTACTGTTGGCATCGCAGCCCTTCATTCGGCCAAGGACCTAGCGAGACCCTGGCTTACGGACAATACAACCAGATCGCCATAGCATGCGACATCATCATGACCCCCAATAAAAAAAAATCTAAGTAAAGACACAAATTGTGTAAAGCATATAAAGCATTGATATTCATCAAAGCAGAAAATTAATTATGATGATGAAATTCCCAGGTTTTGTTTACCGTCGTTACCTTGACCTCAAGGATTAGGTACACCCAGATCAAAAAGCTCAGGTGCATGAAATCTATAACACCGATTGGAATGCCCTACTTTTTATAATGTGTACAGAGGCGGAAATAATGCCCTTGTCTGCGGACAGTGGTTTGTCAGGATTAGTGGCTAGATTTTACCAGCTTATTTGAAAGGAAAGTGTGAGGAATTTTTATCATTGAGGCATGAGCAATGCAGATTGGTCATAAATGCAGTATTTTTTTTAGACAGCTTCCGAGTGGATTAAATACAAATTGAGGAAGTGTATATCATATTTTAAAGCTGTGAAGCTGCAGAAGTACCTAATTTATAAACAGTGCGCGCAATTCTAGCGTCATGTAATGTCTGTGACAGAGTTTTTAGGAGTTCAATAAATCTGAAAATGTACTTTTCGAATCTTATACCTCCACCCTGTACGTGTACTAATGGTCACGGAGATTACAGACTAGGAGTTTTAGATCATTTCTCTGAATTATTACTTAGATATCATGGTAAAATGGCTCTGTCAAGAACATTACACTTCCTTTCATAATGGAATTGCCTGTATGTTGATACATGTACATATACATGTACAAAGTAGCTAAAAAATCATGAGGTGCACAAAATAAAAAATAACAGCGTTGCTGTTGAAACCCCTCAGCCAGAGTCAAGTTATCATCCGGAAACCATTAACCTTTAACTCAACGTGGTGACCTTGACCTTTGGCCTTTGACCCCAGAACCAGTCCCAACATGCCTGTACCAATGGGAAACCCCCTACCGAAGTTAGACACCAACATTTCATTTCTAACTCAAGTGATCATTCGGAACCATTTACATTGAACTCACCACGGTGACCTTGACCTTTGACCTTTTGACCCCAAAACTAACCCCAACTTGCCTGTACCCAAGGGCAAACCCCTACCTCAGTCAGACACCAAAATCTCATTTCTAACTCAAGTTATCATCCGGAAACCATTTACCTTTATCTCACCATGCTGACCTTGACCTTTGACCTTTTGACCCCAAAACCAATCCCAACTTGCCTTCTCCCAAGGGGAACCCTCTTCCAAAGTTAGACACCAAAATCGCATTTCTAACTCAAGTTATCATCCGGAAACCATTTACCTTTAACTCACAATGGTGACCTTGACCTTTGACCTTTTGACCCCAAAACCAATCCCAACTTGCCTACTCCCAAGGGCAACCCTCTACCAAAGTTAGACACCAAAATCTCATTTCTAACTCAAGTTATCATCCTGAAACCATTTACATTTAACTCACCACGGTGACCTTGACCTTTGACCTTTTGACCCCAAAACCAATCCCAACTTGCCTACTCCCAAGGGCAACCCCCTATCAAAGTTAGACACCAAAATCTCATTTCTAACTCAAGTTATCATCCGGAAACCATTTACCTTTATCTCACCATGCTGACCTTGACCTTTGACCTTTTGACCCCAAAACCAATCCCAACTTGCCTTCTCCCAAGGGCAACCCTCTTCCAAAGTTAGACACCAAAATCTCATTTCTAACTCAAGTTATCATCCGGAAACCATTTACATTTAACTCACCACGGTGACCTTGACCTTTGACCTTTTGACCTCAAAACCAATCCCAACTTGCCTACTCCAAAGGGCAACCCCCTACCGAAGTTACAACCCCAAACAACATTTCTAACTCAAGTTATCATCCGGAAACTAAGCTGCCCGGACGGACGGACGGACGGACAGACATACATCCGGACGGACGGACGCCCTAGGCGATGACAATACCCCTCGAGCCTCTCGGCTGAGGGGTAAAAAGGTAAATTTGGTTCCTGTCCAAAGCACACAGACATCTATTCAGTTAATTCATATTCATAAGGCTATTCATTTGGCAGATTTAGCCCATTCATTGGTATTATGGGGTTATCATATACGACAGCACTGCCCGACTCAAAAGTGACAGTCAGTCAGTCAGTGAAGTCTGTGAGCATGTCAGTTTCTTTTTCAGTGAGGTAGGATAGGTAATAAGAAAGGTAGGATAGGTAATAAGAAGAGACTGGCCAACTTGGACAAGCAAAAAATTCATATCAGCAGAATGGCATAGACAGACGGAACGCTGCACATTGAGTCACGTTTCCCTGCCCTTTGGCACTTGACTTCTCAAAAATGAGGCAATAAAAGGTGCCATAAAAAAAACCTCGGTATGTATAGTTGGCAAAGAAATGTCATTCAATAGACTGAAATTTGTTCATAAATCAGACAACATGACAGCCCCAACTTGCATGGCGCTACAGTTCCAGAAGCTCAGTAGTCATTGTTTGAAATGGATACCCTACGAATGCAGACATCAAATGTCAGACTACAGTCCTCACAAGACCATTTATCAAAATTTACCGCTACGCATAAACAGTTGTCAAAAAGCATGTAATAGTGTTTATCGTACAAAGTGTACATCATAGGGTTTTGCAATTTTCCAAGTCCAGGTGCTTTGCTTCAGTTGAAGCCCCGGTTCAAACTTGGTATGTGGTATCTGCTGGACTAATTGAGTCTTGGGGGCCTATTTTTAAGACTATAGCCAGTGTCCCTCGAGGGCCAGGTCCTACGCAGAGGTTGGGATTTTAAAGCCGCCTGTGTTGGTTTTACCTCCCAATTATAGAGGCAGGTGAATAAAGGAGACCCAAGTTCACTTTAAATGGTTTTGGCGTTCACCATGAAAAAGGACGTAATTTTTGAGAGAGAGCAAAGGGCAGGCTGGGTAGTTGAAAAAATTGAGAGGCAAAAAGATGTTCATCCATAAAAACATTTCTATACTTTAAGTTAAAAAGAAAATTAGCTGATGAACAGCTGTGCATACATGTGTATGCACGTAAATTAATCAGTTAAATCTGCGTGTACATGTATAGTGTGGCTAAATTTAGGGATTCAATTCATTTGGCCAAACTTAATCAAGACATAGCACAAGATAAAGGGATTTTGTTCGGGCTCAAGTAAAAACTAAGGTTTAAGCTAGGATAATGGGTATTAATCCTACATTGTTCATGTACCCGGTAGATTAACAACATGAATACATTTTGAACAGCAGTTTCACAAGTTCCATCTGAATACAAAAGTCGGGGATGGTTCATACGCTGCGCAATAGAAAGTGCAATAGTGAATTTGTGATGTTAGGGTGAGTATTCACACTGCAAATTTGCAACGGCTAAACAGTTTACAACTGTGCAGTGTATTTTGTGCGCATGTTTCCCAAACTCAACTTCCTTTTGCGTTTGCCATTATCACTCTCGTGAGGTCTAAACTAACTTTCAATTTGCCTACTTTGGTTTGACTGAAAGCACGTAAAGTCGTCATTCGCTGCCCCCCCCCCTCCCCTCTCCATAATAATGTTATTTTCAATTACCTCCCAGCCAACCAGTTGGCTCTGGATCTCCTGCACGTGGACCGAGGCTTCGTGTTTCCGTTTCATCTCGTTGATGTAGTGAGCAATGCCCGTCATGCACACCAGGGCGTCGCCGATGGTTTCGTAACCGTCCTCGTCCTTGTCAAAGTGTTTGTACATGTCCTGAGATTAAAAGCGAAAGAAACAATAACTTTCCCACTGTGGAAACTACAAGGATAGCGTTGTTAGTTTATCAAACTGTGGAGAAGAGAGGAGGAGGATATTGTAGGATAATATTTCAAAATGTTCAAGTCACACTCTCTCTTTCACTTGAACTCTCGCCAAAAAAAAAAAAAAAAAAAAAATGGAAAAATGGAAAAAGTTGCAATTTGTCCAATAAATCTTTAACTACAACTCATGCATTTTAGTCTAAAAGTTTGAACAGATGGGAAGAAAAACTTTTTTTTTTTAAATATTGCTGGAAATCATATTTTTCTTGGTTAAATTCAGGGGAAGGAACAACTCTTTGCCTTCTACAAATTTGTCATTTTCTTTTAATTCGGCCCCTTTTATTTGTTTAACATTTTCATGTTAACATCATCATCAATGTTGTTCGGTTGCGCACTGCAGGCGACCACACATTTCTTCCAGGACATTGTAAGACCAATACTATGATGTAGGTAACAACAAATACTATGCTAATGCAAAAAACATCTACAAGTACAACATAACCAATGGCAGAAAAAAAAACCTGATTGCAATTCATACGAAAGCCATGCTGGGAAACACACAGTCCCGCAGACCAAATGTCAACCAGATGTGTACACTTGATCAAGCTATTTCAATACAGGCCCAGCTGAAGGTCAGTACCAAAGTGGCAATGAAACTCAGTGGGGAAACCTCTCACATCGAGTGACAACTTCACTAGCTGTGTTTATGGGTTTTTTATTTCAGTTATTCCTGCCATGTGAGACGCATCATGGTTGAGCAGTTGTTGGTAAATACATTTGTTTGTGACAAACAGGGCCCTTGAGTATAGCGTACACCTGGGTGTTTCTTCCCGATAGTGGTTCATGCTGTAAGTTGGCAGTGGTGTTGGGATACAAAAGGTATTGAGGCGAATGAAAGTTTTCTTCCACGCTCAAGAGTGAAACAGGAAAAAGGAAAAAAACGGTTGCAATATTGTAGCGCCATTTCTTTCGCTATGAATATGTCCGCTTTTAAAGTCTACATTCAGTACATGTGTAAATCATTATCAGGTTTCATTGAGATCAGGAAGTAACCCAATAAACCAGAAATAAAAAAATCTTGGTTTCATATCATGTTTCATGTTACTTCTGTGGTTTCTTTTGCATTACACTAATCCCACATATTCACACAAAAAAACAAAAACAACCCCCCCCCCCCAAAAAAAAACCCTAGGTTTTTTTTAACTGCTGTTTTGTATATAGCAATACAAAAGTTATTCACTTTTGAATGAGATATCGAACAAAAAGCCGCCCACGTTTAGTTATGAAAAATTACTATACAAATTTTGAATTATTTGTGGCTCGACAATAATTCAGGCGTATCTTTTGTGCACTATAGGCGTGAAAGCAACCCAAAATAAAAAGAGGATTGAAAACGCCCAAAAGAAAAAAAAAAAAGTAGTTTTTCCAAGTAAATAAAACATACGAACTGAAAATTTGTTTGGAGTAAAAAATAAATCAATATGTTGAAGAGCAAGGGTAGAACACCTTTAAATTATTTGAATGTTCATTTCATCTGTTTTCTATCAGACGGAAAATTTGGAACACAGAATTACAAAAAAGGACAAAAATGGGAAAGCTTGAATAAAACACAAATGGTCTCTGCTGTATCAGGCCTAATGCAATCACCTGCAAACCAATGCCATATGGACAATTTGTACAGGGTGTAATTGAAACATAGAGGGGAGTGTCACCAAACTGGCTAGGCAAAAAAAAAGGGCCGAGATCGACCAATAGAAGTTTTGTTTTTACAATGTTTCGGAAAAATGAAACCACATGTGATATTTACAAAACTTAATTGCAAAAGTCTGAAGTTCTTTCTTTTACTTAATTTCAAACGACCCTTGTCCATGTAACTACAAAAATGATCTGATCAAATGATCTTCCTCAAAAAACCCCAAAAGACAATAACACACACACGAAAAAACAAAACGGAACACAAACATCCCTCTATGTAGGCCTTTTCACAGTTTTGTCTCACCTGCCGGTACCCGTGTTGAAATCAACACGGGTCCACCGTACGCATAACCGGTCCCAATGAACACGAGTAGACACACCCATGTTTACGTTACATACCAAGTGTGGACATTCCCTTGGTTTCGTGAAGTTAAGAAAAACCTCTGAAAAAAAATCATTTTACTCTAACTGTGAAAACTCTTTCAATCCAATTTTTTTTCTATGATTCCCTTGAGTGTTTCTTTTCATTCTGCCACAGATAAACCTAATCCAAAAATGCCTCTAAACCTAATTTCCAGAAAGGGGGAAACACTGTGTGGACTTGCCCAAGTCCACACAACGTCGCCTCTACCTGGTTTACAAATGTATGTGGACCTCTTTTGTTTGGAAGTCCACACAGTGAATGTAATGCCTACCCATGTGTTCACAAGTTGAATATATTTTGGATTTTCTACCCAGGTAGAGATTCTGAACCCTTGGGTTAGATTCTTGCTAGTGTGAAAGCGGTTGCCAAACCTCTGTGTTTGACCCGGGTATGTTAACATGGAGATTTTGGACAGTATGAAAGGCCCTATGTGAGATCTCAGTCATATATTATACCTGGAAGAGCAGATGATACTTGAGAACCCTCTGAACTGGCTTGAGGAGGTATGCTCCGAGTGGCAGAGGATGCCCAAGATACGACTGGCATTCCCTGAAGAACTCCGCGACATCTTCATACTTGGTATAATCTATCAACACCTCCATGGTGCTTGGGTAGTTGGTACAGTAGTCCGTGTACACTCGGAAATTCTTCTCCTATGGGGTGAAGAGAAAGACTTCTGTCAGTTTTAACCGTGGGTGACGGGGTGGAGGAGGCAAGGGAACATTTGTCTAGATCCACTTTTTGGATATTATTTCTTTTGACCTCCCCTCATTTTTGGATCGCATGCTGCTGAGACATGAACAATACTATGCACTGCCAATGAGAAACATTCTGGTGAAAATTGTTTTAAGAGTCGGAGGAGGTTGATGTTTACAAATTAGTTAATAAAATTGGGGAAATTTTTCTTAAAATTACAAAATGTGACAAGATCATTGTGATGACATCTTGGGTATTCTGATATGGTTATAACATTAACAGAGACTTGCATTTCTTTTGTATTTTGCTCAAAACCCAAATGCTAAATGCATCAAGATCAAGTTCATATCTCTTATTAAGTAAGCATGAGGGTCATCTACTTAAGTAGTTCAGATACCTATACTTTTAAGTGAAACTTCAGGGGTTCAATAGCCATCCAAGTTCCAAAGGTATGTGGGCACAACTGCATGGTCAACGTACAAGCGGTATCAAGAAATGGGTAAACTAGGTTGCACTTTAATGTACCGGTACAGGTGTTGACAATTTGGAAAGACTTACAATTTCCAATTCATTCTAAAAAAATTCAGTTTTACTTGATTTCAGGTTTTAAAATTAATGCAGAAGTTGTCAAAAAGTTCTCTTTTTGTTTAAATGAGAAGTAATTTGAAACATGTAAAATCCGAAGTCTTACATTATCAAGGAAGCACTCGGCGATCAGTACTGGGTCATTATTGCACTGTTGTAATTCCTTCAAAAGTTTTCTGAAAAGACAATAGAACATTTGGAAACATATTAATGTTTACAGTTTAACAAATAACACTATGGGATTTATTACACTTGAATTTGATGTACATTATGAATTGAGTTAAGATGATTGAAGACAAGTAGTAAAAATGTACACATTCTTTTAATTAAAACATCCTACACATCTTTGGAACTTGCAGCTGATGATTTACGTCTTTCAGAACTCAAAGTTATCATCACTACTTGAGTACCGGTACTTCAACTTCAACAACACGTTCTGCTTGAGAGGGAAGTTGGTGATTGGAAAATCAGGAATCCTTATATCTGGTATGCTCACTCGCAATATGCATGTCCATTATTACAAATAACATTGAGTGTACTACTAGTACAATCATGGTCCCCAAAAACCGTATTGTCAGGGGTGTGTGTGACCACTGATAAAAAAAGCTGAAAAAAAGCTGAAAAGGGTGTAAAAAATCTGAACTTTGGAAATCTCCTATACTTTTGTACACAGAAAGTGAGGGAAAAAAGCTGAAATCCAAAACGAAAATAGCTGAAATCAGCTTAAGCTGAGATTTCACACCCCTGATTGTACATCATACATACCGGTACATGACATTAGAATGGGATGTACTGGTACATGTACCTTTTATTAGCTTTGGCACCAGCATATAAAAAAAATGTATCCATTATTTTACCGTTTCTACATGTACATGTACAATGTAAGTTTAACCAAGAATTACCTGCTAAGTGCTAATACACATGTACACGCACTTGCAGTACATGTACACAATGTATACAGCCTAATGCTACTGAACACGTACGTGCACATGTACATGTACGTGTTAATAAATTCCACTCGTTAGACAGAGCTAATACCAAGTGTAGACAGACGTGTAAAACCTGGAAATTCCCTTGAGTCAAGTTGAAAGCCAAGCCCAACTTCTCTGAACCAACGGGGGAAAAAGTCTTGGCTGAACTAGTTTTCACCCCAGACATCTATGCCTTGACATTTACGGTAATCACACAGACGGAAAGACTGGTCTTGGCCACACTACAAGCTTTCTGTCTCAGGTTTATAGAATGTACAATGAATGATTGATTTTCAGGCAGTAGATACTGGGTACATATTCCTGAACGGATGTGTTCAATCATCATCAGAGTGTTAAATGAGCAGTGACGTTGGTCATTTCTATAAGAATTAAGATTAAAAATGAGAATACCTTCTGCGTCCGGTTTCCCTACCTACCCTATTCTGACAGCCCCTACCCTAATATTTTTATTGAAAAAACACCCCAAACCATCATTTTCTACCTTTTACTCTTGACTGCCTGCAGACGCCTCCATATGATCGTACACAAAAAAAATTGGCAAAATAAAATTATTTCCCTACCTACCTACCCTATTTTCAATTGCCATGTAATCGGAAGCAGAACTATTTTTTTGTGACCTTAGTAGTGATTCACAGTGGCTTGGTGGAGGGGAATTTGGCGGGCAATCAAGAAAAGACAACATGAAAACATATAGAATACAAATGTACATGTACATGTATGTATGTTATGACTGTTGGAGATTGTTAATACACAGATCCATCCCAGACAGAGCAACAAAACTGGTATTTAAAGTTATGGTTGTTTTTTTTCCTTCATTTCCTTGCCTTGAACCCCCTGCCCATGTAACTGTACAGAAACATGATCATCAATGTATGTCTGTTTATTCTTATCTGACTTTGAGGCAGTCATCTTTTGATTTAAGTTTAAATTTAATCAAGCTTTTTTTTAAATTGAGATTATGAAATTTGTACCTTTTTGGCATGAAGATATCTTTTATATGGAAACCAAGCTTTCTTAACAATTGATTAAGCTTTTGCAGCTTGAGTGGCCGATGCGCCTGTACTGCCACTCCCACCAGTTGTTGTGTCATCCACAACAAATCCAGACCAACCGCGGATGACAACAGATAAATTTAGCTTACAGTTGTCTCAGCAAATATTTCACCAACCATCCCCTTGGTGGCTGCCATCTATCACACCACCACAGGTGTAGGGCTGAAGGCCAAGTTGACAACCGGAGTCCAGTATCCCGGCAACAGGGATTGTCCAATCAAACTCTGGCAGGAAGAGCTTGCCCTCCAATTAGATGCTGGCGATTTCTACCCATTGCCCTGAACTTCAATACCGACTGTTTGTGTTGTTCGTGATCTCATGGGAGGATAAGTCATATCTTAAGTTGTACATGTGCCTGGTGTAACTTTGTTCACATGTTAGCATCAGTTCCCACAGCTACATTTTGTACGTATAGTACATGTACTTCTCACGGTAAACGTGGGTATACTGCGGATGAAAGACTAATCAAATGACGGAAGTCACCATCATGTGTAGTGACCTACAGGATCCCCGATAAGAACCAAAAAATGAAGTCCACCTGGGCAGTGCAGATCAACTTTTGAACTTCATGTTCCGGTACAGGGGACACGGTCTCTTGGATACATGTACCGGTATGCATGAGCTCACACTGGGGTCTGAATGAGTAATCATAGAGAAACTACTGATAGAGTGAAATTGGATGGGATTAGCATTCCTCAATTACAGTATCATGAAACTAATAAAGCCCTTGTGTCATTTCAGAGATTCTGTATTCCTTGGGTTCAGTGAGGCTGAAGTACTGGCTTAAAGACATCACTTTTTTCCCTGGGTGGAATGCAGTGTGAATTCCTTGACATTTCCCTTTGAAAAATGAAAGCAATTGATCTATCCCAATAGAATCGCGTTAGAATTGCGTCAACACAGCTTGTGAAATATTCTCCAATTACATGATACACAAATGGATGCAGAACGCGCACAATCTGAGACAAACAAAACTTAGTGTACAAAAACTCCATAGGGTTGTCTAAGGGGCGTGGCTACCTCGCAAACAGCGATAAGTCCATTTCCTGAACAGGCCCCTTTTTTTATTTATGCTCAGGATGACATCTTTACACCGTGATTATTATTTGGACCTGCACTGTGGGCCCCATGAGAGTAGCAGCGCCACTTTTATGTCTCGAGCCATCAATCACACAAAAGTGCTCTGGGAAAGGAAAGGTTTAATGATCAATAACAGGCATTAAAAGGTTAAAATAGCAAATCACATGAACTCCACTTTTTCAGTGGTGGCAATTCATGCTAACTACCCCTTGCTTTGGTGTCTCCACAATGCACTTCTGTCGTTTGAGCTAACCTGGATCGACCAAAATGCCAGGACAAAGGGAACCCTCTCTTTAGCTTGACATCCAGTTTAAGTTTGTCCCTCCCAACAATACACTCGGCTCTACACAAAATTGTTCACTAGGAGTTGTCAAAAGGTCTGGCACTGAAAAAACAGGCTCGTGGATGATTTACCAACTTTCACAATTTGTGCACAAACTCACACTTCCATTCACAGAGCGTGTGTCACAAAATGAGGCTTCAAAGCTGAACACATGCTAGGTATATTTCAGAGGCTGTTCGCATTGTTAGTGAAAGCCGGACATACAGTGATCTGGGTGACTTGAGTAAAGTAAGCCAGGCACAGATATGCAATCATGAAGTCATTTCTATTAAAGAAAAAAAACTGCCTCATCATCGTGAGTAATACAAGTACAAGGCTGAGCAACTTGGCAAGTGCCATGTTGTGTCTCCCTAACACCCATCAGGTTGTCATGATGCACCCTGCTTCATCTATGTACATGTACGTTGTTCATGTAGATGCAACAAAATTCAATGCAAATTTGAGAACCCAGCGAAATGCAACAACAACCAGCATGAGCAAAACTCAACGGTACATTTTGTTGCACTGTTGTGCAGTGTACTGGAACAACACCCATACTGGAATTTGTATCCTTGTGGAGACATTCCTTTGTTCTCGTGTACTAAAGTTTTCGAGTTTGAAAGTGTAGCTTAAAAGTGCTCTTATTTTAACCAGAATTAATTTCCTTGGCTGAAATTTGGACTTAATATCCCTTTTCTAAAACTCTTCCATTTGCGACAGATCAACATAGCTTGGAAATTCCTAGTTTTTGAGTAAAATCCATATATCTATTTCGTGAAAACCTTGTGGAGACGTATTCATCTATAGAAATTGCCCTGTGGAGACGTAAACTCTTTTGTTCCCTATTGCACTCAGGTCTCCAGAGGGCACGGTGTATCAAATCAACAGCCTTGGCACTGCGTGACATAATCAGTGTACCTTCCAACTTCTGCTAACTGCTAATTCCAATGTACATACTTTTAACCAGCACTGCTTTTCGATGCATTTAGCATTAATAAAAGAACAATTTTAGAATGATGAATTTTTTGTATAATACATGTACATGTATATTACATGTACATGAAGGAAATAATCCTTTTCAACGGCCGTTTGTGGAAAGAAACATTATTCCCTTGAGAGTAACATGAAACAGGGGGGATCAAAAGTTTAGTTTCGACAGCAACCCTAAGGCACGCACAATCAGCTAAGCTCATCCGCATGTGACTAGTTTGCGGATGTTGCCTGGCCTGATAAGCCTCCCCTGTGCAATGTGAATCAGAGGCGCTCATACCCAGACCCTGGGAACGTTTCTCTAGTAGTTGTTGAAATCTTCGCTTCTTGAGATTATTTTTTCACTCTAATGAAAATGAAAGTCTTGGACTTGTTTCCATATTGTCATTAATTGAGGCATTTGTGTAATTTTACAAGTTGAGTACACCAGGCCTTCGAGCAACACCAAAAGTTTGTGTCCAAAATTGCACAGAATTCCGCAAAAAAGAAAAAGATTGGCCATTCAATAAATTTAGGGTCCAAAAGTGTGACATTATTTTTCCTGTCTCTGTTACCTTGGTGCTTCGTAATTTTCCATTCAATTATCATTGACAATGACTTCAAATGATTCTTTATTATTTTGTTGGGTAGATAGCTTGCTATACATAATCACTCTCGCAGGATGACTGCATTAAGGAGTGCATCAGAATTACTTTATAAAATCATGTCAAATGTAACACTAACACGGACAGAAAAAATAAAATGGACCCCATATTTATAGAATGGCTCATATGTACATTGTACGTAAGTACCTGTTCAGTGCAAGCCTATCCACATCACTTGAATGTTTGTGTATTGAATTTCAGTTTTCAAACTTGTGCTAATTTGTACCTGCGGCCTTTCTGACCCAAAACCCTCCATCCTGTCTTTTTCCCCCCTAGAAACCTTAACTTCAGCAGTTTTTCCATAAACAAAAAAAAATCCACACAGCTTCCCTCCCTAAACAGTGACTCACCGGAAGCCACGTATAAATCCCCAACCTGAGCCAACTCCCACTAGATTTTTCAAGAGGGAGTGAGCGAGCCCTTTTAAAAATAAAATGCATCAAAAATGTCACAACTGCTTCTGCAACAGTTTTAAAGGGTAGATTCTCTCTGTCATCACCAATTTGTCACGATGAACGAGGAAACCGACAAAAAATGTCACGCGTCAAGCTAGGGCCGGAGGGAATGCCAACTTTCAGTCATGTGCAACACACATCTGGGGGCAGTAAACCCTTCCATAAGGTATTTTTTTGTGGCACTTACATTGACATGATTAGTCCAGGGAGCTCGTGTCAATGTACGGGCATGTGCACCTGATTTTGACTCTCTCTGAATAGCTGTTTTGTACAGATTAATAATCTTAATACAGAGTTTCAATGACTCCAACGATTTTTACATTTTCAATTCTCATGGGAATATATTTGTAATCTACAGGTAGGTACCAGACGTTCATGAGTGCAGAGCCACACTACAATGTCCGATATATCAGAGCATGCAAATTGTATGGGACCTCACGCGCCAGCCGACAGAGCCGTCTTTAGAAGTTGTGGTGTCATTTCGAGCAGAATTTCAGGCAAAGCTATTGCTTGCTCAACAGCTTCCATGTTGTTCCTCATACAACATCGGGTTACCGAAGACAGGACAGAAAGTGTCTGTTGAATGTCAGAATCTGGAGGTCAAGTGTTGTTTTGCATACTGATCTGCACTTGTTTCATAGACACTTCCTGTATGCAAGCACCTATTCCATAGATTACAGAATTTCATGCATTTTATAGAAATTCAAAGACAAAATTTTTGCCTTTTCTGACACCATAATCTACTCAAGACACACACTTCTTTTCCTGTGGTATCTTCCAGATATTATAACTGTGTTAAAATAATGCTAGTGGTCTACAATTTGCAGCACCACTTTCAGTATTTTGGAACCATTTCCTTGAACTTATAAACAGTTATATTGAAGGTGTCAGTGATGGGAGATCGGTCTCGATGACCGTGACACAGCTTAATTTGCATGATCTTCAGACAAATGTCCTCCTTCAGACACAAAGTACTCCCGCCATTGTCAATTTCCGGCGGCAGGGATGATGACTCCTCTCCAAAAGCAAGGGTCTCATGGTGACAAGACAATAAGGTCAACTATAAAAGCTGAACCTGCCTCACTGGGATTGTGTACACTGTCACATTCAATCTTCAACCCAAGGTGTTGACGACCCTACCTAGGTCACCAGTCACATGAATCATAGGTCCTCGATGTCAACAAAAAAGACGGAGACGGAAAGTTCAAGAAAAAGGCCCGCCAGTCTAGAATCCCTAGAGGATTCCAAGGTGGTACAAGGTTCCAAAATTATTTCCATTTCCTAAGGTTGACAACTGACAAGACATCTCATGCTGAACTGCTCCCCTGACTTTATCCTACTGGTACACGATACAGAACTAAGCCTCTGACTCGGCCGACCACCGCTGGAAAAACCTAACTATTTTTCAACTACTGCTCCAAATTTACCTTTTTTTTCAGTCCAAATTTTGTTTGCTATTGGTTACATATTCATGAACGGGTGCAGGCCAGCTAGACTGGTTCCCTTACCTTACACTTTTCTGGCATCTATAAATTGATCCATTTTATCTTTAGTGGAGTCAAGGAACCAGACTACTTGATCATTTTTGTTTTTCTTGGTTTTTCCAGCATTTTCGAACACAAATGTCAGTGTAACACTAACAATATTTGATCTATTATACTAACCCCTCAAATAATTCATTTCTGAATATTACAGCAAAAGCCAATGATGTACATTCCGTTTAACCCTCCCTAACCCCCTTGCATGCCTTGAGTGATTTATAAGGAACCACCTTCCTTATACCCATGCAAAAATCCAACACCATAATGGTAAACTCTACACCCAAATTGTTCGACTCCGATTACATGGTGGTAAGCCTAACCATGGGTTAGAGGTGGTTAGGGTAAATGCTTTAGGAAGAGACCAGTCTTCAGAAACAGCAATCCGCCAGGAAGTCAAGAAATTGTGATATCAAGAAGTTACCAAAGCAGAACTGCATAATTGCGTACTCGGTGATAAATAATTTGATAAGATCCAAATTGGCAGTTTCTTTGGCTGGTATCCATCAGTGGCTCGGGGCATTCATAATGTATACCGATGGAATCCCGTATTGCCCTCCAGAGGGCAGTATAGAATTTGATTAGATCCCACCCAACATGGGCTCCCACTGAGTTGGAGTAATTCATTAAGAGTCCGTGACCAGACTTAATGAGGTCGGAATGATGAGCGACACACTTTGCCACTGTGATCGCAAAGGGAAACAATAGGGACCTATGACTCGAAACTCGAAAAGTTAACTCCAAACTCGAAAAGTCAACTCGAAACTCGAAAAGTCAACTCGAAACTTGAAAATCCAACTCGAAACTCGAAGATCCAACTCAAAACTCGAAAATCCAACTCGAAACTCGAAAAGTTACCTTGAAACTCGAAACGTCAACTCGAAACTCGAAACTCAAAAATTTGACTCGAAACTCGAAAAATTAACTCGAAACTCCAAAAGTCAACTCGAAACTCCAAAAGTCAACTTGGAACTCAAAAACTTAACTCGAAACCCGTAACCCAAAGAATAGAAACCCTCCCACCATACTTGGGCCAAAAACCTTTTCCCCAGAAAGAGGTGGGTCCTGGGTGACTTACTTATTGAAGTCGTGAATTTCCTGGATGTTGCCAAACAGGGTGTCTTGGTCATCTTCCGTGATGAGATTGATGGTGGCTGCTATTGCTTGCTTGTAGCCCTGTGGGGTGTCAAAATACATGAATTTACAACAAGACTGAAAAATGTTATGAAGTATATCAAAATTTCTTGGCATACCTGGATTAAAGTTTCAAGAAAATTTTATGCACTATTTCATAATTTTCAATGAAACATACACCCAAGGAATCTTCAAACAGTCAATTTTCATGTACCGGTAATGTATCCAGCAAATATTTCCTTGCAAGGGCTTTTGTCTACCAGCTTCCAAAGACGAACTGAGTAATGCATAAGAACACTTGATTAATTTGGAAATATAAATTGTGATGGGTGAATGTTTTGTGATGTTGACATTTGTTTTTTCTTATGTGCTAAATTGAGTTGACAGATCATTCTTGGGGTCCGGATGAAGCAAATGTTGTGCCTAACTGCCTGTAAGAAGATTCTCTACAAGCTACAATGGGAAAGATCATTACTAGACTATCAGTATTGCTCTAGAACAGTACAATGTATAGTTCAACTCATTCACCTGTATAACATCTGCCAAATCCATCACGTAACTCTCCTCAGTGTCTATTAGTTCTTTGCACTTCTGATCCATATAAGACATGCTGAGTCTGGAGGACTGTTGGGACCTGGACCGAAGGGGCGGAGTCGAGACTGGGGAGGGCGAAGGAGACAACACATCAATATCAGCCTCCACTGCGGACGAAATGGTCGGGTTGATACCGGTACGGGAGGATTTTCTCTTATAGTCCAGTTTGATGGCTGACAGGGGCACTGGTTCCGAGTCGCTTCGTAATCGGCCTCTTGGCTTGGCCGTCGGTGCCTCGCCGGCCTTCTTGTTCGCCGGTGCTTCACTTTTGGATTTTCCAAGAGCGTTGCTCTCGATAAACTGGCTGAATTTCGTCCTCGCTAGCCGCGCACCGAATGACAATGTTCTTTGGAAACCTCTCAGATTGGCATTAGTGTCTGTCCGCTCTGGCGGCGAGGATGCTGCTGATTTACGCCTTGGTGGTGGATGGCTGTTTTTCTCAAGACTTGATGACCGCGAGTCGCGACCAGAGGATTTGGATTCTAGATTTGATGTCTTCTGTTTACTCTCAGTAGGCGCTGCAGTAGTACGTTCTATTTCAGTCTCCACAGTTGCGTTAGTACTTTGTTCACAGTCTTCGTCCAAAATTCCGGGGCAACTCTCGCTCCTTGGTTTCAAGCTACTCACATCCGTATCAAATGTGTCTTTTTCCTCATCTGATAAGTCCAACTTCACAGACGAGAGAGAACTGTATAGAAAACTTTGGTTAGGGGGATTTGGCATAGTGTTTGCTTCCTCAGCCTTAGTAGTCTCATCTGTCGGTTCGGCCGGAGCGGGAGAGTCACTGTTACTCAGAGGCCCATCCATGGCGCCCGTGGCTTCAACTGCCATGGCATCTTCCTGGTTCCCGGCGATTTCAGTGGTTCCTGTCTCGGCTGTGATGATGCCATCACTGCTGGTCCTGTCAGGTGACTCCGTCGTGGTGGTTGTGTTCTCCTTGATCGACATGAGTTCGTTGTCTGTTGATGCATACTTATCATACAGAGTAATCAAGGAGGGGGCTATGTCCATAGAGGAATCTGCAGAGAACAAAAAAAAAAAAAAAGCACTGGACATTAGGGTCTGACGGTGGAAAACAAATTGTTGAATGCACACTTACATGTAGTTTCCAACTATCAATAGATCTCTCTCATACTATAGGATGCTTTTTTGTAGGAAAATTACAAACTGCGTATTCAACACCATCAGGTGCGTGTGCTCGCCGCTTGCAAAATGTTCTATACACGTGCGCATGTTGCTCAAAATTTCTTCAAAATACGGTGCAGCCGATGAGCATCACAACAAGTTGACGCACAAAATGCTGATGCACGTGGAAATCTGTAGGAAGTGACGTCATTTGAGAGAAGACCTATCAGCCAAGTTCTTGATTCTGAGTTAACGTTTTGAGTCACTCCATTCCGATCAGAGTCCAAGTCTGAAGTGAATGTATGTGTACATCATAAAGATTAAACAAACTTTACATTTTTGTGAAGTTCCATTAGCCAAACATAAATTCATGATTTACCCTTGCATATTGTGATTATCCACATGGAAATGACCACCTACATCCACCAGTGACGGTACATTGTACATTTTCACATGCAGAGAAATTCGGTTCAGATATGAAAAGAAGAACTGCCTTCAAGTTTCAACCTTCCTGTTAATAAATTTATGTAATATCCTTCGGATAACACAGTCAAGACTCAAGTATTGTCAAAACATTTCTGAGCAAAATACTGTGTACATGATATTATGTTAACAGGTACCTACCATACAATTAACGGAGAAGTATAAAGTACCAGTATAATGCCATGGAGAAGTAGGTATAAAGTTATAAATTTTTTTCTGCAAAAGTTAGACGTATTATTTACCATGCATATACATGTAAGGTGATAGTACATGTAACTGTGTCAAATTCCTGAAACTACCAGTAATGGCTCTGTTTGTTGACAAAACATACTTGTTGTGCACACATCTGCTCACTCAACAGATGTTGAAAAACCAATGAACAGTCACAACAAATGAACTTGGGAAGACAACCAAAATGGCACCCTAAAAATCTGTCAACACTGGATGGGACAATTCACAATTGGCCAAATCCTCCACTACAAACTTCTCAATCCCCCATTGAGGAAGCATTGTGCAATTCACTGGAAGGGTCCACTTAATGGCCCGAAGATTCCCTGGGTCTCAGACCAAACATTCAAGGTTTGAGGTTACACCTGCTACATTCCACACTGCACCACCGAGACCTCAAACAAGAAAGGCCGGTCTGTCCTACAACTGGACCTCTCTGAAAACCCCACAGTGCCTGAGTTAATAAAAAAAAATACTGATTTTGCTAGAGGGGTGTTGATTGTAAATTAGGCGCAACTGGAGTGGAAAAGAAAAGTTTGCCTTGTGTTGCTGGAGGCCCAAGGGGAGGGTGCATGGGCGGCACAGATTTGTGGTTTGGACAGGCTAAGAGGGCCCAAGTGCCTTATAAACATGACACTGGATATTCAATTATCTTGTAATGCTAATACTTGTTGCAAAGTTGCATATTCCACTGAGCATATAGCTGAGGGACCACCAGCATTTATTGTACATGCACTGTACGTACTAAAAACCTGGAAACTGCCCGTAATTTTAGGGACTTCTCCCCAGTTTCCACCGGGAAAGAGTGAAGAAACTGAAAGCTGATCACATGATTTCTTCAATGGAAACACAACTTCGCTTCAACTGTAACATGTACATAGGTTTCTACATGTATGTCATTAGAAACAGGAACAAGGGCCCAAAGAGGAACAATAGAGGAAGAGACATGAACTTTAATCCTAAAACAAGTTCACCCTGTATCAACCTGATTATGAAAATTTTAAAAGCTGATAATTTACAAAAGAAAATCAAACTACTGGCATTGCGTCTAGTCTGACTTGAGAAACAAAAGTTAGACACATTACTCATACATACATGTGTGTAGGTTTTCTTTTCCAAATACCAATCATTCATGACATACATTTTTTTACATGTACAATGTACCCTGGTACCAGCACCACGTGTTTCTTTTACTTAATTATATTCCTTAAGTTTTTTTTCAACAAAAATGTTAAACCTGTATCACATGTCCCCTTGAACAACAGAAAAAAGTACAGAAAATGTGGACCATACCCCAAATTCAATCTGCCCCAAACTGATTGCCATATGATCGCTAATTTGTTTACCTTTCATCCCATTTGGACAATACTGGGTTACAAAAGTCTCGAATCACTAAATAAACAGAAATGTTACCTGTTGGGAACAACAGCAAAACTTGCACTGGTGAAATAACCCACTTCACCCTATCTGTAGCCCTGAGGGATAGGTTCCATTACATACTACAGGTCTGAACAATTTGTCCCACAATTCTGATGTTTCATGGGGTAATGGGAGAGGCGAACTAATAACCAGACATTTGTTTAACATGTATACAGTTTTGGGACTTGAAGTGGAAAAAAATTCAGGAGAATAGATTACATTTACAAAAGAAACAGCCTGAGACTGTTCATTTTAAATCTACATGTAGTTTCTGCCTTTCGAAGATTCAAACAGATTTTACATCAATTGGACTTTCCTACATGTACTTGCACGTGTAATTCAACACAAAATATCAAAACATGCCAAAAGTATGTTTGTAAATTTTATTTCACAAATTAAAAAATGCCATATAACACAGTCAGAGGAGTGGTTTATTGTTGTCGGTACCAGTTGGCGTGCCAACACTGCGCTATGAGGAAGTTTTCTGTTGTTTGGGAAATTACTAACGAGTTACGGGGACTTTCTGCTGTCCCCATAGTGTCTTCGGTCCCCATTAACAGTACAGGTGTGGTCCCCAAAAGCTACTGAACAAGATTGTGTAATAATAATTTTGAGGGCACGTGTGGTCTAGCGGTGGAGCACAGGATTCATGTGGAGCACAGGATTCATGATCGTGAGGTTGTGGGTTGGAGCCCCGCCGTGGCCATACGTGTTGTGCCCTTGAGTAAGGCGCTTTACCTCAATTACTCCTCTCAACCCAGGTGTTAAATGGGTACCGCACTACCGGCATTATTCAACATGTTCAATGCTGGGAAGGTAACAGACTCGCTGTGGAGGAGGTGTGGTGATCCCCCCACAGCAGCATATGAGTCTGGCCCAATCGCTATTAAAGAGAGATGGGCACTCTGTTCCTGTGAACACAGGTTCATCCCCTTTCGTCCCTTTTTGTAACTCAGCGAAAAATTAATAACATGCATGCAATTTAAAGAAAATCTTATAAATGAACAAAACCGTATGGAAAAATTAAAGTTGAAATGTCAAACAAAAATGTAAAAAACAAAGGTCAGGATTGACTTATGGTCCCAATAGTGAAATTCAGTCATTATTCATAAAGAATACATGTACTTCACAATCACATGTGCATTTATTTTTTACTGAATACATTTCAGAAATTCAAAAAAGTGAACAGAAAGTGAAGCAAGAAAACATTTACCTGCAGAAAAAAGTTCCCTCTCACTGGTCTCAATCATCTTTCGGAGCTCAAAATCAAACAACATTGCCACTGACATGACTGGCAATTCTTACAGTTACACACGTACACGTATCTTGCAGTATTAATCCCAATAAACGTCAGTAATAGCACTAAATCCACCCAGACTGATTTTTACATCGTCCCTAACTGCCACTCGCTCACTTGACTCACAGAATGAGAAATGCCTGACAAGTTACAGGTTACTGCCCTACACCATGTGGGCCAGCCAAGGGCTTGGACAGTCTCCCTGCACCGAAATCCACAGCAAGGCCCCAAGATTGAGCCTGGGATCTAGACAAGGTCCTTGGGGGCAATTTAGTCTTCACAATACACACAGGATGGTGCAGCAGTGATTTCATGCCAAAACCTGTCAAATGAAATACCTGAACAACTGGTGCTGAACAACGCTGGCTTTGTTCTTTCCTGTAGACTGTTCCACTCTGTGAACATCAGTGGTGGTTCCCAGTTAGAACTTTTTGAGGGATATACACATGTACCGTATCAAACTGTATTCACCTGAATATAGCAGTCATAATTTCACAGAAGGGAGAGACTCGGTCTCCTAGTAGTTGTACCATATACACGTACTTGTAGTTGTGGGTACCGTAGTCCAGATTTGCAATTGTAACACCATGTCTCCAAAATGTAATCCCAAGTTCAAAATGAGACTGAACAGACTTGACAAATTTATGTGCGCGTCTGCACGCATTCCTGACTGTAGGAGGTAGAGTGCCACTGAGTCAACCACGGCCCCCACATTATGCATAATGGAAATACCCACATGCCTTTGGGTTAAAACCTGCATTATAAAAATATACACTGTACAGTTCACTTGGCAATGACAAAGGCAAATGCTTTGTGTGGGTTTTCTGGTTTGGCGACCACAGGAAATGATTACTGTTCATGTATGTTGTGGGATGGGCCAAGTGTCCACATATATTGCAACTCTTTTGAGATACACATGTACTTCCTCAGGAAAAAAATCCTTTCCCCACAACCTTATGAAAACAAACGGTACAGGAATTAGCATGTTAACATGTTGGACAAATAGAGAAGGTTGAGTAATTATATCAACATACCCGGTAGGCGGTAGGACACCGAGTACTTGTGAAGGGTTGGTTGGGCAATTTTTTTCACGATCACCATTTTCTGTGGTAACCGCGCTAGCAGAAATATTCTGTGCTAACCCTGTAAGCACAGAATCCTTAGTTGCCGGTTGTGCGCATGCGCAGAAGCCAAAATTCCTCGCTAACATAGTTAGTTTCTGCTATAGTAAGCAGGGATTTTTCGCTAACTGTAAGCAGAGCCAAGAAAATTTGGCACTGATGGTACAGGGCTAAGTATTCACTTGCATGATTGGTACATGTACATGTAAATATACCGGTACATACGATGCATTTTTTATTCTGTATAATTTTGGCCAAAATCCAGCTGGGTTGTCCTCTTACTAAGTCCACGGTCAATTTGTGAGCCCAGCATGCAGTTTCCAGATCAAGTTACAGTAGCCTGTAA